GGAGGGTCTGAACTTGCCCTCCTGTGTCTGTTTCACAGGCTGTCAGCGGAGGAAACACTTTAGACATTTCACCCAATTTCCATGAGGCTCCCTCACTTCCCCTCTCCAGACAATACCCAACCCTGACTCTTGACCAGTCTGGAAGAACCTAGGTCGGCAATTGCCCCAAGCATCCACTCCAAGTCTCGTCAGCCTGTTCCTTACCAAGTATAGCCTCTTCCTGAATCCTCTGCACCCATCCTTCTCACATTTCCCTTTGCATCTCCCACCTCTTCCCACAGATGCCTACCCACATTTAGGCTTACCTTTCAGAGGCATAAACACCTACTATCCTCTGCTCAGAGTCCACCACAGCTTCCTAGTTTCCACCACCAGAGACTGAAGCTTCTCCATTGCTAGGGAACAATATACAACCTACTATTGGGAAACATTCTCAGAGATCTGTCTGCTCCCTGAAAGCTGGTTTCTACATTCACAAGATACTTCTTGAGCGTGCTCTCAACTCTCAAACATACCTGAAAGGTGGGGCCAGTGTTGTAGCATAGCCACTGCATGCAATGCCGGCATCCATACTGGCGCCTAATCGTGTCCCAGCTGCTCTACTCCCAATCCAGTCCCCTTCTAATGGTCTGGGGAAAGCAATGGAAGATGGCCCAAGTGTTTGGGGCCCTGCCATCCATGTGGGAGACTTGGATGAAGCTCCTGGCTTCAGCCTGGCCCAACCTTGGCCATTGCACCAATCTGGGGAGTTAAAACATGGATGGAAGATTGTGTGTGTGTGTGTGTGTGTGTATGTGTATGTCAATAACTCTGATTTTCAAATAAATAAATCCTGAAAGAAAAAAATAAGATCTCTGAAACAGAAAAGAGCTACCTGACTTCCACTTTAGGAGAAAGGGGCTATTTCACATCACAGATACTCTGAGTAAATGATTATGGCCAGGCTCTGCCTATAGGCCAGTGAGTGACTATTGAACTCTGTGCAGATACCCACAGCTTGTGGCCAGAATGAAAGCTCTGCTCAACAGTCACTATGTACCCAGTCAGCCCTAGGAATAAAACACAGTAAGAAGGAAAAGGACCTCTTTCCAACTGGGACACATTCTCACCAGCTCCTCCAGTTCTGAGACTCCACCAGAGCTGCTGGCCCTGCAGATGTGTCTGAAAGTTTAAGTGGAGAAATGCACATACCAACATGTACCTCCATACATAATATACACAGCCACACATATGCATATGCATACATAGACACATGCACTCACAGAGACACACAGGCAGAGGCACAGAGGCACCAATTACTGGGTCCAGCACCATGGAGAGTGTCAACAATTGGGTGGTGCATGAAGCTCTCCAGTCTGCTCCCAAAGGTGCAGGGAGATATCTCCTCCAAACAGCACACCTACACACAAAAAAGAGTATAACAGGTAGATTTCCTATATGAAACAAGTTATCTCATGACATACTCCGCTGCTACTAACTGGAGATGCCTTGACAAGGCCTCAGTGCCATGTAGAAGGAGGTGGTGGGGAGGCCCACCTGGGCAGATGCCAGACACAAGTCCTCCATTCCCACAGTCCACTGAGGAGCTCCTGAGGCTGGCACAGCGCAAGGTCTGATCATAAGATGAATGCAGCACAGGTCTTTCCTGAGGAGCACATGCCCCCAGGGGAAAACTGTGGCCTCCAAGAGCTTCCTGATTCCACTGTGACCCTGCTGCAGGCTTCCCTGAATGTCAGTCACAGCCAAGCCTGTGCTAACATTGAACTATATATATGTCAGATGCTCACCCAATATTTCCAAAGCAGAAGGGACACTTCAACTAAACTCTAGATACAAAACCTTTTGGGTAACTGTTTTCAATTAACGGAAAATGCTCATTGCTAGAACCATGGTAACTCTCAGAGGCCCAAGAGACAGCCTCTGGTTTTCTTCATATATTTTTTTCCTGGCCATTAAAATGATGTGCATCCAAAAAAATTTTTTTTTCTTACTCAGGCAGTGTGGTTTCCCACTGAGGTTGCACTCTTGGTACAAATTGTCACAGGAAAAACTGCTGCATTAGCAGGCTACCTTACCTAGCTGAAGCAACCTACTTCCAGAAAAAAAAAAAAAAAAAAAAAGAAATCCAACAAAGCCACCTTAGAGTGGTTGCTGCAGATTGACTGCCGCAACTTCACACACTATGGGTCCCTCCTGGGTCTGTGCCAGAGTACAGCCTTGCACTGCACCTGCACCTTAGAGGAAGAGGAAGGACTTTGCACTCCATTCCCTGAGGGAATCCCTGCCTGACACATTGACAGATTCTGGCTTCAGAAATGACTTGTCAAGCTCTATGCGTGGCACATGTGTGTCAGGCACACTCAGGCTCCACAGCACCCACACCTATCTCCCTGCAGGGACACATGGAGGCATGAAGGCCTTGCCTCGCCCCTACCCTTGGGGCTACTGTGCTCCCAAGGAGCAGCTGGCCCCGAAGAACAGATGTCCCTGCAACTCTGGCCCCACTCAGCCCCACCAGCCGGCTGTTCTAAGGTGGGCACCAAGTCAAGGGCTCCAAGGTCCTGCTCCAGCAGGGTGAGACTCCTCAGCAGTCCACACTTGGGATCCTGGTGTCCTTCATTTACTGACTGCCACACTGCTCCAGCCACCCACATGGAAGTGGGGCTGTGACCAGAAACACCATGGTCATCACCACCACTGTTGCCATGTAGGGGTCTGTGCACTTCAGAGCTGAGCGACCGCCCACTCTCCTCAGGCCACCTGCAGCAGTCTGGGCACTGGGCAGGCGGCCTTCAATGCCTCTCATGCCCCAAGCTCTCCTCTCATCCTGTGTCCCCCACACCCCATGGCTTCCCATTCCCCAGCTCCTTCACACACTCCCAACCCCCCATCTCATGACCACTCACACCTGGCCCTTCCCTCACGCCCTGTGTCCCTCAGGACTCCTCACACCCTCCCCTGCCCTCACACACTGGGTCTCTCACGACCCCTCACATCCCACCCTCCCCTCACACCCTGTGCCCCTCACACACCACCTTCCCTTCATGTCCTGTGTCTCTCAGGATTCCTCACACCCTCACCTCCCCTCACATGCTGTGCAACTCATACCCCTCACATCCCACCTTCCCCTCACATGTTGTCCCTCAGGACCCCTCACACCCCACCCTACCTTCACACCCTGTGTCCCTCACAATCCCTCATACCCCACCCTCCCCTCACACGCTGTGCCCCTCAGGACCCCTCATACTCCACCCTCCCCTCACACGCTGTGCCCCTCAGGACCCCTCATACCCCACCCTCCCCTCACACGCTGTGTCCCTCACGCCCCCTCACACCCCTCTCCCCCCAGGCACCATGTACCTCACGACCCCTCATACCTCAACCCCCCTCACACACTGTGCCCCTCACATCCCTCTCCCCTCACACATTGTTTCCCTCACGACCTCTCACACCTCACCCCCCCTCACACTATCCCTCACAACCCCTCACACCTCACCCCCCCACACTATCCCTCATGACCTCTCACACCTCACACCCCCTCACACACTGTGCCCCTCATACCCCACCCTCCTCTCACGCCCTGTGTCCCTCATGACCCCTCACACTCTCCCCTCTCCTCACACACTGTGTCCCTCACACCTCTCTCCCCTCACACCCTGTGCCCCTCACACCCCTCTCCCCTCACGCACTGTGTCCCTCACGACCCCTCACACCTCACCCCCCCTCACACTATCCCTCACACACTGTGCCCCTCACACCCCACCCTCCTCTCACTCCCTGTGTCCCTCACAATCCCTCATACCCTCCCCTCTCCTCACACACTGTGTCCCTCATACCCCTCTCCCCTCACGCACCGTGTCCCTCATGACCTCTCACACCCGACCCGAACTTCGCACGCTGCAGCTCTCAGCCCGCGGCTCTCAGGACCCCTCACACCCGACCCTCTCCTCACACACTGTGTCCTTCACGACCTCTCACACCCCACCCTCCCCTCACACCCTGTGTCCCTCACACCCCTCTCCCCTCGCACGCTGTGTCCCTCACACCCCCCTCCCCTCACCTCTATCCCCTCACGCACCGTGTCCCTCACGACCCCTCACACCCGACCCGACCCTCACACACTGTGTCCCTCACACCCCTCTCCCCTCACACTCTGTGCCCCTCACACCCCTCTCCCCTCATGCACTGTGTCCCTCACGACCCCTCACTCCCGACCCGACCCTCACACCCCTCTCCCTTCACGACCCCTCACACCCGACCCGACCCTCACACACTGTGTCCCTCACACCCCTCTCCCCTCACGACCCCTCACACCCGACCCGACCCTCACACTGTGTCCCTCACACCCCTTTCCCCTCACACTCTGTGCCCCTCACACCCGTCTCCCCTCACACTCTGTGCCCCTCACACCCCTCTCCCCTCACACTCTGTGCCCCTCACACCCCTCTCCCCTCATGCACCTTGTCCATCACGACCCCTCACCCCCGACCCTCCCCTCACACCCCTCTCCCTTCACGACCCCTCACACCCGACCCGACCCTCACACACTGTGCCCCTCACACCCCTCTCCCCTCACGACCCCTCACACCCTACCCGACCCTCACACACTGTGCCCTTCACACCGCTCTCCCCTCACGCACCGTCTCTCACGACCCCTCACACCCGACCCGACCCGACCCTCACACACTGTGCCCCTCACACCCCTCTCCCCTCACACCCGACCCGACCCTCACACACTGTGCCCTTCACACCGCTCTCCCCTCTCACCCCTCTCCCCTCGCGCACCGTGTCGCTCACGACCCCTCACACCCGACCCGACCTTCGCACGCCGCAGCTCTCAGCCCGCGGCTCTCAGGACCCCTCACACCCGACCCTCTCCTCACACGATGCGGCCCTCAGTCCCGCGGCCCTTCACGTCTCGCGCTCCCCCAACACACTTGAGTCCCCACGCCCTAAACCACCCTCGCGCCCCTCGCGCGTCTACCCTCAGCCCCGCCTACCGTGCCTCCGGCGCTCAGCCATGCCGTGCTCGCCCGCGACCCCGGAGCCCCGCTGCAGCCCCGCGGCCGAAGGAGCTTCCGGATTCCCCGTTCGGGCCCACCCACAGCAGCAGGGCCGCCCAATGCGGATGCGCGTTCCCTGCCGCATGATGTCAACCATCGCTGTCTGGCTTCGGATTGGCTCCTGCGGCCTCCATGGGCGTGCCCCGAGACCTTGAGACCCGCCTCTGGGAGCTTCCCGCGGAGCATGCGCGGAGGGAAGGCGAGGCGGCCGCAGGTGGCTCCAGAGCTCTGGAGCGCGGGTGGGCGGCACTCTGGCTGTCGGGGCCGGCCCCTGCTCCTCTCCGTGGCGACTCCGGGGGCGAGCGTCGGGAACAGTGTCTCGGGAAAGAGGAGCGAGACGCTCCGGCGCCCGAGAAGCGCGCGAACCCGCCGCCCCCTCCGCCTGGGGGCGTCCTCCATGCGCCCGACCAGCCCACGAGCGCCTGCAGGGCGGAGGCGGCAGCGGCCCGGCGGTCTCCACTGCCCTGGGCTTCTTGCCCTTGCAGACCTCGCCTGGAACCCGCATCGTCAGATAGTGTTCAGAGCATGCGGCCTCGCAGGCAGCAGCAGCCGCGGGCGTCACGGGAATGGGGCGCGGAGGTCTTCCAGTTGGTGCGCGTGGGCCGGGAGGGTCTGGAGCCCGAAGGCGGGTGCTGCGGGTCCAAGAGCGAGGCCGTGAGGGAGGAGCACGAGGCCAGGCGGTGAGCGGCTGTAGCCTTGACCCTGGCCCGCAGAAGGCCACAGCCTGGGCACAGGGGCGCCCCGCAGGTGGCTGCCAGGACCGAAGCTGTGCCTCCCAGGTGTCCGTGGCTCCTAGCGAGGCCTGGTAAGGAGCAGGTGGGCTGCTCAGCAGTTACAGTAATTTTGTTGGAGTGATAGAGGCAAAGGCTTGATGGGAATCATAGAACTGCAGGGGAAATTGGAGACTGAATGTAGACCTGTCTGGGGGGCCTGGGAAATGGGGTAGTAGAGGGTCACTGGGAGACAGCACCACCCCGTGTGCGGTCTGGGGTAGTGGAGGGTCACTGAGACACAGCACACACCCCATGTGTGGTCTGGGGTAGTGGAGGGTCACTGAGACACAGCACCCACCCCGTGTGTGGTCTGCAGTAGTGGAGGGTCACTGGGACACAGCACACACCCCGTGTGTGGTCTGGGTAGTGGAAGGTCACTGAGACACAGCACACACCCCGTGTGCAGTCTGCAGTAGTGGAGGGTCACTGGGAGACAGCACCACCCCGTGTGTGGTCTGGGGTAGTGGAGGGTCACTGAGACACAGCACACACCCCATGTGCAGTCTGCGGTAGTGGAGGGTCACTGAGAAGCAGCACCACCCCGTGTGCAGTCTGGGTAGTGGAGGGTCACTGAGAAGCAGCACACACCCCATGTGTGGTCTGGGGTAGTGGAGGGTCACTGGGACACAGCACACACTCCATGTGCAGTCTGCAGTAGTGGAGGGTCACTGAGAAGCAGCACCACCCCGTGTGCAGTCTGGGTAGTGGAGGGTCACTGAGAAGCAGCACACACCCCATGTGTGGTCTGGGTAGTGGAGGGTCACTGAGACACAGCACACACCCCGTGTGTGGTCTGGGGTAGTGGAGGGTCACTGAGACAAGCACACACCCCGTGTGTGGTCTGGGTAGTGGAGGGTCACTGAGATGCAGCACGTACCCTGAGTGCAGTCTGCAGTAGTGGAGGGTCACTGGGACATACAGTGCACATCCATGCCCTGAGTCCATCTGAATTGTGATCAGCTTGGTGCTGGAACAGGAGTGAGACAGCAGAAGGAGCCAGAAGGAACTTGTTCTGTGCTTGGAGCCTGGGCTGTGGCCCTTCCCACCTCACCACAGTCTTCCCCAGAACCACAGATAGGCTCCTCCGGGCCTGTTTCCTCCATCTCTTTTCTCATCAGAGCTTGAGAAAGTTGATTACAAGGCCAGTGTCTGCTATTTTCACTTGACCTGTGACCCAGTATGTGTTCCACTCTATCCCTGCCCTGTGCCTTCTGCTAAAATTCCCCAGGCCCCCCAGGTCACCAGCTTAGCACACCTGGTACTCAGGTGACCTACAGTCCCCCAAGAATACACTGTGACCCAGTTGATGGGATGGACTTGGGACTCATCACCTACTCTCCCTCTTCCTGCATAGCCCACCCAAAGAAGTCACACCAAGGGTGTCTGTTCTGTTCACTTCCTCCTTTCACTGCCCTCTCTGTGTCTTGGTCATCTCTGACCAGGATTTTCCAGGGGTTTTCAGCTGGGCTCCCCAATCCCACTCTTGTTTTCTCACTTCTACCTCACCACCAGCTCTATTCATGGCTGCAGTTAGTTTTGTAAAAATCTCAATCTCGTGTCCACTAAAAAAGTTAATGGATGTAATCCATCACATCAGTATGGAACAGAAGAAAGAAATCTTGAACTCCTATCAACAGACATAGGGGAAGCATTTGACAAAATCCAGCATGTTCATGATAAAAAAAATTTTTTTAAGCCTCCCAGCCAAGTATAAAGAGAGGGTTACTTCTTCAACCTACTACCAAACATTACAAAAACCCCACATCACACTTAAAGGTGAGAAAACTTTACCACTAAACTCAAGAACAAGCTTAGGGTATCCTCTCTCACCACTGCTTTTCAACATGGTGTGGGAATTCTAGCTAATGCAATAGGACAAGAAAAGGAAATCAAAGGTATACAGAGTTCCAAGGCAGAAACAAAACTGCCTTTGTGGAAAATAACATGATTGTGAGAAAAACAAAACAAAACCTCACTACCCTGCTCAAAATCCTGTGCTGAATTTCATTCAGTTAAAGTCCTCACGAACTTCTGAAATCCTGTCTTCTTGTCCAGCCACATTTGCACAACTCTCCTTGCTCATGCATTTCTGGCTTTTCTGACTGTTGAGGTCTGGAAAGAAGCACCTAGTCCTGTCATTCTGTCTGCAGCCCCTGCTTCCTTGGACAGCTGTGACATTTATGTGTCCATAACATGTCTTGCTTCTCTGGAACCCTCTTCTTGCCAGGTCTCCTTCCTCCCAGGGCTGTGACAAGTGCTGACCTCTGCCTTCAGTTGTGGTTGTATGACAACGTCCCCACGTGCTCACCTGCCTCCACCTCAAACCCCTGGTCTCTTTGAAGCCATTAGCATTGCTGGCGAAGTAAGGGAGAACAATCAATCATTGGGGAACAGTAGTCCACAGGGAAATATCTGGGTGTCCAATTCGGAGACTCAGCAGGACTGAGCCCTGGATGCCTTCTGGCTAGACCAGCTTACTAATGCATCCTCCATGAACTTTTCTTCCTGTTCTGCCTCACTCTTCCTGCCTCCTCTCATTTTCTGGATCAATCTCCCAAATACATCTGCACTCCAATCCTAGCCTCAGAACCTGCATGTGGCCATTGGAGGGTGAACCAGCGGCAAAGGAAGACCTTTCTCTCTGTCTCTCTCTCTCACTGTCCACTCTGCCTGTCAAAAAATAAAATAAATAAATAAATAAATAAAAACCCTAGCTTACTTGTAACCACTTCTGAGAGCTCCTCCCGGACATCCCAAGCCATGGGACAGCGCTGCCCCTTCCACATGCACTCTGTGTCTTTCCTCCAGAGAAGTAACTCCATTTGTGTGTAACTTTTCAATTGCCTCCCTCTGGACTGAAAGCTCCGCGAGGCCCTTTCACTGTTTTGCTTGCACATTGAGTGTAAGAGGGGCACTCTGTTGTTTCTGCGCTTGCTGTTCCATGAAAGATTCCATAAATGTCTAAAAAGAGGAAAGGGGACCAACATGGAGAGCAGGGAAGTGGAGAAGAAGCAAATTTCAAAATAAAAAATTGGCCTAAAATCTAGATATTGAATGAAGTGTGGCACACAAAATGTACCAGGTTTTGACAGTGGAGACAAACTGGACGAGCTGAGGACACTGAGGAGAGCCTGGGTGGAAGTCAGAACTTTTATTCATCTTTGCAGGCCTTCAGCACTGTGTTTTGAAAAAGATGGATTATAGAAAAAAAATCTTACGGAGATTTGTTTTCTTTAAAAATCTTGGAATTTCAGGGAAAGGTCATTTTGTCCCACTCCAAATATTTCTGATCTTCTGCTTCCCTCCCCATTTTGTATCCCGTATTTATTGCTCTGCAAACATCCTCGGTATGATTCACATCTCTTACCGCCTTTAAACTTCAGGGCACACTAAAATTGTGAAGTCCATCACTCCGTGCGAACTGAAACCAAGGTCAGCTCCCCGGTACCCGGGGAGAGACCAACGCGCCCCTGCGCGCCCAGCTAGGGCCGGCGGTTCCTTTTCTGGGGCAGTGGGCTCCGGAGGGTCTGCCCCACGTGGCCGGGTCGCTAACTTTCCCGGGCTGCCGCGGGGCTGTCGCCCTCTCCGGGATCTGCTCTCCTTCCCACTCCGTGGCTCTCACGATGTAGAGCTGCTGACGGCGAACCAGGGGCGGCGGACCCAATCTGAGGCTCTCCCTGCGTCCCACCAGACAGTGCTGTTGGTGGGGGTCTCCCTACCTCGTGCGAGGCAACCGCGGCCCGCTCAGGCCGGTCGGCGCGGCAGTGGAGGCGCGGCAGGATGCGCACGCTGGAGCCTTCCCCAGAACGGAGCGCGCCACTCTCCCGGTGTACTGTCGCTGCCATGTGGGTCAGGAGATGTGCGGACCGCTCACCACAGGAGTCCGCGCACGAATGCGCCCGTGACTCTGACCGCGGCCGGCGTGGGCTACCCCTTCCAGGCGTTGAGCGGTGCGTGTCGGCTTCCCGGCGAACTTTCGGCGCCCAGAGCTCCGGCCCGTGCGCGCAGCTGCCAGACCAATGGGTCCCACCCCGGCGCCCCCGTCCCGCTTGTCCCCAGGTGACCCGCAGCTCCGCGCGCAACAGTTGGGGCCGGCCGCCGCGCGGCGGCGGGGGAGGGGGCGGTCCGCGCGCTCCCCGGCCGTGCACGCTGGGCGCCGGCGGGGGGCGGGCTCCGGAGCGGCCGCCGCGTCGCGGCCTGGGCGCTCCCCCGGAGGCGCGCGGGCGCCCGGCCCTTCCCCAGATGGAGCCGCGCGCCGGCCGCCCCCCAGTGCGCCGGTGCCTCCCCGGGCGCCGAGTGCGCAGGCGCCGGCCGTGAGGACCGACAGTGCGCCGGGCTC